TATTTTCAAGTTATATCCACGATGTAGCTTATATCAATACTTCATTCCTTTTTGTGGCAGAATAACATTCCCTCGTTTGTATGTACCATGTGTCTGCTTATCTGTTCATCAGTTTGATGCCATTACATTTTAAATAAGATAGGATTCCAGACACAGTAAAAGCAAGAAATTACTTTTTGCTTGAAAGGGGAACTAAGTTTTCTTTTATGAGAAGAGCTAGCATTTTGGAGATTATTCTCCAGTAGCCTGCTGGAATTTGTTTTGTTTTGGTTTTGGTTCTTTGAGACAGGGTCTGGCTATGTGGCCCAGACTGGCCTTGGAGTCATGCATGGCATTCTCCTGCCTCAGCCTCCAGAGTGCTAGGATTACAGGTATGTGCCACCATGCCCATCTGGAACCACTTTTTCATGTGAGAAGGAGGTTAGAGATTTTTAGTCCAGTTCCCTTCTGAAGGGAAAGAGAAGAGGGAAAATGAACCAACTTGCCTGAGGTTGCACCCTATGCAAGTGGTTAGGCTGACACTTGTGCCCCAGTCTTCCTTCTCCCAGTTAATACCATCAGCACCACATTCTTTTGGGTCCTATGAAAGAATAGCTGCTAGTTACCCACCCACCAGAAGTTCATTTAAGCCCTTTACCCACGGTTCAGAGTCACAGATGGAGCCAGCCACTTCCGGGAGGGCCGGCCACGCCCCCTTCCCGGGGCGTGCTCGCGCCGGCCTCCACTGCGCGTGACGTAGCTCGCGCCCGGGGCCGCTATTGGCCGGGACCCGGGGTGTCGGTCGCCTGCCCTTGCGACCCGTACTTTTTACTTCCTGGGCTGGAGTCCCCGGGCTGTCCCCGAGGTGGAGTGGGGCGGGTCCCGGGAACCCAAGCTGGTCCTGACAGACGGCCGCTGGCCTTGGGAATATCTGTAGTTCTTGTCCCACCTATGCTCCTTGCGATGAGTGACCTTAGCGCGGAGTCATTTCAAGAATCTGCAACCTCTCCTGTCCACTGAGCTGTGGAATGACTGCATGAACAGTGTTGTTGTTGTTGTTGTTGTTGTTGTTTTGAGACAGGGTCTCACTATGTAGTTGAGAATGACCTGGAACTCACTATGTAGCCCAGGCTGTTCTCGAACTCACAGCGATCCTCCTGCCTCGGCCTCCCAAGTGCTGGGATTACGGGGATGTGCCACCATGCCCAGCTCATGAACAGTGTTTTAGATCTTATGGTGTGCGGATAAGTGTGTAACACCCGACTCTCTGGACACGGAAGGACAATGCATGCGTGTTTGTACATTAGTTTCCTGAATTTTGCTGATTCAAAGGATGCCTGGCGCAGTTTACAAATAATAATGAAAACAAAATGGCAAATTCCATATAACTGACTCTCAAAGAATGTTTCACTGATGTTTGCTAAATTCTGTGTGTGTATGTGTTGCTAGGAATGGAACCCAGGACCTCCAACCTGCTAGGCTTGAGCTCACCTGCTGAGCTGCATCCCCAACCCTTGTCAACTGCTTATTTGTCACAGTGACCACGGGGCTAGAATCCTCAATAATATTTTCTTCTCTTAACACAAGAGGACAGTGAAAAGGCAAAGACAAATCAAGATGGGAGCAACCTCTCCTCTGAATGGAAGTTTTAAAATACTGGAAGAATATATCCTTATTTTTCTGCTATTCACACAGCTACAGATAAAACACATGAAGTTTAAATCTGAACTAGCATATTCATCACTTTCTTAAGTCTACGTAATCCACAAAACAATAAATCAAGCCTGGATTGGTAGCAATTGCCTAGCAGCTGATTTCAATCTGCGAGCCTGATCTTACTAGACACGGAGTTAGAAAAGGATAAGCTGAAAACCATCCATGAGGTGGGAATTTAAGCATACAGATTTTTCAGGTGTGGTGGCACATGCCTGTAACCCCAGCACTTAGGAGGCTGAGACAAGAGAATAAGCCCGAGTTGGAGGTCAGCCTGGGCTAAGTAGCAAGACCCTGTTAGAACACACGCACGCACACACACACACACACCTGCACACACTCGCATGGATGCACACACACACGCACATGCATAGAATGATAACCATGCGAATAGATAAAATGGACATAATCCTAACAGCATAAGGGAAAATTATTAGGAAATAATGAGCTTTGAGAACTTATTACCTTGATTTTTAATATAATTTTTGCGACAGGGTCTCACTGTGTAGTTCAGGCTGCCTTTGAACTCGCAGTAATCCACCTGCCTCAGCCTCCCAAGTGTAGGATTACAGGTGTGCACCACCACACCAGTCATTTAGTTTTTAGAACCCTGGACATCAAACCTGGGCCTTGCATATGCTAGGTAAGTTTCTCTCACTGAGATACATCTCCAGCCCTATAAGTTTACATAATTTGATTTTTGATAGTGGTATGTTTTAAAACTGGCTTATAAAATTGGGGCAATCTTAACAATTGATTTTCACAAGCTGGGATGAGCTCACGCCGTAGAAACACTAGAGCTCAGTAAGGGTCCAGCTTTGCTTTTATGACAGGGCGTTGTGAGGATCGAATAAGGTGATGCTTGTTTGCTGTTGAAAAGGAGAGGCAGGAGGCAGGGAGACCAGCCCAGTAGGAAGCCATTGCCATCTTCCTGGAATGGGATGATGAAATTCTCAGCGCTGAGGAGGAAGGATTGGCCAGCAGCAGTCAGCAGCTTCTGTGCCCAAAGGTACCGGAGAGGAAAGAAAGTCCGGGGGCTGCCAGCTCCAGCAGCCAGAGGGGCCTTTGCCAAATGCAGACTTGAGCAGAGCTTGCACTTGTAGTTGTTTGGCCTTCTCGCTGCTCTTAGGCTGAAGACGAAAGTCCTTAAGGAGCCTGCAGGGCTGTGTGACTGCACTACTCCCTCCCTCTGGCTGCGCCTCATCTGTCCCCGCATCCCAAGAGCACCGTGGCCGTGGCCGTTTTCCCCATGGAAGGCACCACATAGGCGATTCCGTCTCCTCCTCCCAGCGCTTATTCAACCCCTACCCACCGTTCCAGTTGAGCTCCTCCCCCACCAGGGAGAGCTGCCTGCTTGGGCCTTTCCTTCTCCCAGGTGATTTGAGTCAAATCTCTCTTCCCTCCTCAACAGTAGGCTCTAGGAGGGCAGAGCTGGGTTTGTTTTCTGCCCTGGGGACTCTGCAGCGCCAAGAACTCGTGTGGCACAGTGGGCCCCGACACATCCACGTGGAACGGTGGTGCAGAGTCCCCTGACACAGATCTCTCTAACTCGGCACAACAGACTTGCTAGGAAGAGCGATGTAAGCTGATGGGTCCTGGAGCTGCGGGCCCTGGGCTCAAAAGGGTGCCCTACAGACAAAGCCGACTGTGTCTGACTTCCAGCCTCTTGGTCCCTTCCCTCCCTCCCCTCAGGGCCTTCTCGGATGTCCCTCGGGTTTCTAGAAAAAAAAAATACAGTAGAAACTGCTGTAGGATCACAGAGCACCTGAGGCCTCAGAAGACCGACGCGAGGCTGTCTGGGAAGCTGTGGCCCCGGGAATTCCTCAGGGAAGGAGAGGCCCGCCGCTCTGTAGCGCCCCCTGCTGTCCAGTCGCTGTCTTGGCCCCACAAGGGCTGCCTGTGTCAGCCACGAGGTAGCAAGTTCCGCCTCAGGTACAGGGGAGATTGGAGTGACCTTTGTGAGGCAGAACTCTCTCCCCCTTCCCCCGCAAAGAATCGGGGCTGTGCTGCACAGGTTGTTCCCAGCTGTGCCACTGACTGGCTTGGTGGCCTTGGGAATGCTGCTTTGCTTTCAGGGTTTTAGTTTCCTTATCTGTAAAAGACAAATCCAAGGTATGGCCAGAAGGCACAATCCCGACATTCGGGAGATTCTGCAGGGGATTGGTCCTCTCCTCCCCTCTCTCCCACGCTCCTTACTCAAGTTCCAGGGCAGAATCGCTTGGAGTTACCTGTAAATCCAGGGAAGAGTTTAGCTCTGGCTCCATTTTCTGCATCCATGCAGTGACCTGGGACATCAGGATGGGGTGGGGGCTTAAAAGAAGCTTGTGCAGCTAGATGTGGTGGCCCACACCAGTAATCCCAGCTCCTGGGGAGGCTGAGGCAGGAAGATCACAAGTTTGAGCCAGCCTGGGCAGCTTAATGTATCTCTGTATCAAAATGTAAAATAAAACATAAAAAGGTCCGGAAGCCAGTCATTTTTGTCACACCCCTGTAATCCCAGCAACGGGGAGGCTGAGGCAGGACGATCACTGAGAGTCTTAGGCCAGCCTAGGCTACATAGTGTCTCAAAAAGCAAACAAACCAAAAAAGGGCTGGGGGTGTAGCTCGTGGGTACATCACCTCAGGGTGTGAAGGAAGAGGAAGCTTCACCAGGCAAGGCAGGAGGCTCCCAAGAACCCACACCCTTCCAGGTCCAATGAGGCTGCCTTGGCCCGGATGCTGTGTTTCCAACAGAGGGACCCATTCAAGGCGGAGGTGAGCGGGGAAGAACAAGAGGCTGGACCGTTCTCACGAAGGAAGGATGGAGAAGCTGGGGTTTACGGGGATAACAAGCAGGTGGGGAGCAGAGGGAAACTTTCACTCACCCCCTTCCCCGTGACTGTGGTACCTGTTAAATGTGGGTAGGAGGAGGAGAACCTGGGTTCCCAGGGGTGACCTGGATGAAGCTGAGAAACAGGGTGGATGGATGGAGGGAAGTCCCTTCATCGTTCTGGGTCCTGGTTTACTCCTCTGTAGAGGGGCATTATTATTATTATTATTAATCATTGGCAGCATCATCACAATCTTGAGACAAGGTCTTGCTAGGTAATCCTGTCTGGTCTTGAACGTTCGGCAATCCTCCTGCCTCAGCCTCCCCAGTGCTAGGTTTACAGGCCTGTGGTACTATGCCCAGCAGGGCAAGAGGATATCATTATATTTCCTGAGGAGGAGGGTGGTTTAATTGGGCACAGTAGGGGAGTCAGAGCTCTCAGTTTGAGTCTCAAAGTGAGTCGCTGCATAATATCAGGGTGTTGGGGTCTCTGAGCCTCAGAATCTGCACCTGTGAAATGGGAATAATAACACGCATCATCCATGGTTCTGGGCAGGATTATTTGAGACATTGGGCAGGAAGAACACTCTATAAACTGCCGCCAGCCTGAGCCTGGTGACATTAGGCTCCCCTTCCCACCCTCACCATCCGACCTCGAAGCCCAGATGAGCAGCTTGGTGCCAGGGCACAGCCCCACCCTGATCACACCCCTCGTGAGTAGCTGCCAGGAGGTGAGTGGAGCAGAGGGGTGGAGAGAGGGCGTTGCTATGGCACCCCACCCTGGATCTGCCCATCTCCCTCCCCTCCCCTGCTGCCTCCTCTCCTGACAGATGTGGACTGGGGTGGGGAGGGTGCTGTGCTGGGATTAAGGGGGCCCTGAGGAGAGGAGGCAGGGCCCCTGTACCTTTGTCCATAAGCCGCTGATGACATAGAGACAGCGAGAGGTTGAGAGGAGAGGGTCGAGCAGCCGGCCCCAGACCGCAGCCTTAGCCTGGGCTCCCCTGCGTGACCAGATCCCCTGGGCAGCCCGGACCCAGGGTCCTAGAGCTGCGCTGGGATGCGCACCAGGGCCATGATCCGGCCCTCTGGCGTGTGGGTGCTACTGGGCTGCTGGCTCCTCTGTGGCTGGGCTCTGGGGGGCCCGAGGCCTCTCCACTCTCTGCCCCTGCTCCCTGGACCGGTGTCCACGTGGATGCCCCCGCAGGGGATCAGGGCAGCCCTGGCTTTTCTCTACTCCGGAGATGCCCAGCAGCTGCTGAGGGCTAACTGCAGTCAGCGCTATGAGGTTCCTGGCGTAGAAGCCAGGCCGGGACGCCCCCCAGTCCTACAGAGGGCAGCAGGGGCCCTGGCCCAGGCAGCCAATCTTCTCAACGTGCTGCTGCAGGCCAACGACATCCGAGAGGCCAGCGTGGAGGAGGACGCGGAGTGGTACCAGGCCCTGGTCCGCAGTGTGGCTGAGGGAGACCCCAGGGCCCGCCGGGTTCGGCTGACCTTTAACTCTCCACCAGGAGCCAGCAGCCCCCCGCTGGCCCTGCAGGCCACCCGCATGGGGGCAGAGACGCTCCTGCAGCAGCTGGCCGGGAGCAGGGTGGGGGAGGCCAGCGCAGCCGAGGGCCCTGACGCTGCTGCCCTGCACAGGCGGGTGCTGACCAACGACCTGCGGAGCCTCGGCAGCCCCAAGTGGCCCCGGGGAGACGCGTACATGGGAGACATGCAGCAGGTGAGGCTGTCCCCTCCCTTCCTGGATTGCCAGGAGGGGCAGCTCCGTCCTGGCTGGCTGGTCACACTCTCTGCCACCTTCTACGGACTCACACCAGACCTCAGCCCGGAGGTCAGGTGAGTCTGGGCCTCTCAGACTGGCGGGGGCTCGGGGCCGGCAGACCCAAGGGGCCTGATGCCCCTGTGCCGTTTGGCAGAGTGGGTTCCCGTCTGGGGACACTTGTGGGTGTTTGTACACAGCTTTGTCTGCAGCTGGGCTCTGGGAATCTCTCCGCGAACGCACACAGGTGTGCGTGAGTTCACCCACTGCCACGCACGGCCGTGGGGTCTGCCCTGAGTGCTTGAGCTCACGGGCACGTGTCCTGAGCGTGTGTGTACACAGGGAGGAGCACGTGTTGGCATCTCCACACAGGCACGTGCGCAGATGTGCGCAGAGGTGAGGGCACAGACGGGCACAGGTCCTGGCCCTCAGGCCTAAGGTGTTAGTGAGGGTAAGGAGACAGTTTGGCTGGGGCCAGGGGGCCAATCTGTTCGCCAGGGTTCTTTGGGGAGCCTGTGGGGGGGACTCCCCGAGGTAAACCTGCTGCTGGGGGCTTGGAATGAATGCCCTTTCTGTCCAGGAGTAGGCTGGGTCAGTCCTAGCATCACTCCTTTCGGTATTGTTTTTTGAGACACACACTATGTAGCCCAGGTTGGCCTTGAGCTCACAGCGATCCTCCTGCCTCAGCCTCCTGAGTGTTGGATTACAGGTGTGCACCACCATATCCTGCTTCCTAGGACCATTCCTAAAGCCCATAGTCCTACCTCAGGGGGCCCTACTGTGCTGCCTGTCCTGACCCGAGGCTGGGAGCCCGTGGGTCAGGGCAAGCACAGGTACAGTCAGACAAGGTGTTCAACAACCAGAGTTGCGTCCCTGGCTCTGGGCTCTAAGAGTTGTTCCCAGATGGGTTTCCTTGCACAGCCAGGCAGCTGGCTCCTTGCCAGCTCTCTCCCTACTCTGCCTGGGGAACTGTGGGGCCGGAGGCTCCAGTTCTGGGGTCTCTGTTCCTTCCCTCCTGGGTGGTATGAGCTATGTGTGTGTGTACATGTATAATGGGAAGTGTGAAAATCCCCCAGACAGATCATCAGGTCTTGCCACGTCTCCTCAGAAATCAGAAAAATGATACGATGCTGAAAAGCAAGGGGTGTGGGAGGACTTAGTGGGGGGGTTGCCATGGTGATGAGGCTACTAGCCCTGGTAGAGTCTGGCACCCAAGGGCACTTCCGCAGCCCTTGCTGTGGCCCCAGCTGCCACTTCCCTGCCCTAGGGGCCAGGTGCAGATGGACGTGGACCTCCAGAGTGTGGATATCAATCAGTGTGCCAACGGCCCAGGCTGGTTTTCTGACACACACCTGTGTGACCTCAACAGCACCCAGGTGAGGATGAGGTGGGTGGGGCCAGAGGTCCTGCCTCCCCTTTCCTTGTCACTGCCACTACCTGGCCCCAGGAGCAGCTGACAAAGCCAACCGGCATCTCAGGGCTTCAGGGGAATCTCTGGAGTCCAGCAGAGGTGAGGTGCCAGGCTTTTTAAAAGTGCAGCCACTCACAGCCTACACTGTACCTGCCAGTTCTCAGGGCCTCAGAGTCCCTTCCCAGGGCCACTTTATTTTTTTTTTGGAGACAGAGTCTTACTGTGCCTTGAACTTACTGTGTTCATTAGGCTGCTCTCTAAATCAAAGAGATCCTCCTGCCTCAGCCTCCCAGGGGTTGGAAGTACAGGCATGCACCACCATGCCCAGTAGTTTTTTTGTTTTTGTTTTTGTTTTTTTGGTACCGAGGATTGAACTCAGCTACTTGCACTTGCAAGGCAGGCCACCGAACTGCTGAGCTAAATCCCCAGCCCCCCCAGTAGTTTGTGTGTGTGTGTGTGTGTGTGTGTGTGTGTGTGTGTGGTAAGACAATAAAGGAGTGTGTTTACTGGAAATAAAGACAAAAGCTTCCTGTAGTTTGTTGGTGGGTGTGTGTGTGTGTGTGTGTGTGTGTGTGTGTGTGTGTGTGGTACCGGGGATCAAACTCAGGTCATTGCACTTTTGAGGCAGGCGGTGGAACCACTGAGCTGAATCCCTACCCCCCCCCCTTATTTGGTGCCAGGGATCAAACTCAGGACCTTCAGCTTGCGAGGCAGGTGCAGTACCACTGAGCTAAATCCCTAGCTCCCCGGGTTCATTTTTTAACCCAGCCATACACTTGTCATCCTTGGGTACACTTTTGATTGTGCGGACAATTAGATCGGGGCACTTTGCGGTGGCCCGGGGTATAGGAAGCTGGGCCCCAATTTCAGAAGCACCACACTAAGCCCTCTGGCAGAAGCAAGTCAGGGACTGCATAGAGAATGGGCCACTGCTAAGGCCTTCCGTTGGCCACTGGGGTCCCTGCCACTCCCCACGCTGTGTGCTCACCCTCCTTGCCTGACTTGGGGGCTGGGTGAAAATGGGATAAAGCGTCCACTTGACATTCCACCAGCCTGGCATCAGCCTGGCATGAGGGCTGGAGGAAGCAGAGCCGCGCCAAAGCCAGATGGCTCCTGATGGAGGAAGCCGCTCCCCCACGGGGGCCTCTTCAACACACCTGTGACCAGAGGGAGGCTGGTGGGCAGCCTCTGACGCAGGATGCCGGTCAGCACAGGATGTACGCCAGGCTCAGATATCCCTGCTTCTGTCTGCCCTGGACCCGGGCCTGGCGAGAGCTGGGTGCTGGGAGATGAGACTTGTGCTGTCACTGCTGTCTGAGCAAGAGCCTGGTCTGTCCCAGACGTTTGAGTGGAGTCTCCTTGGGAAGGGAAAGCAGGGGGGTCGGTCCCGAGAGAGAGGACTCCCCAAAGACTAGGGAGGGCTTCTGGGGGGGCTCCTGGCTTAGTCCAGAAGCCATGGGTAGGGAGCAGATGGACCCCCAACTCTTCCCCCGAAAAGGTGCCACATAAATGCACATCATCGTCACCTCCACAGTGTGTTCCCCTGGAGGGTCGGGGTTTTGTCCTCGGCCACTACCTCTGTCGCTGCCGACCTGGATTCTTCGGGGCCAGTGGCTCTGGGGGTACGTAAGTGTGGCTTGGGCCGTGCGGGCTTGGGGAGAGGGAAGAAGGTGGTGTAGGGGCGATCTGGGTGGAAACTCCCCCAGGAAGGTCAAGAGAAGCAGCAGACATGGTAGGGCTGCCTGGGGGTCCCTCCCTGGGATTCCCACTCCTTCACACCCCCGGGCCCGGGTAGCCCTCTGGGCAGAAGGCTGGGATCTCGGTTCTATTTTGTGTGTGTGTGTGTGTGTGTGTGTGTGTGTGTGTGTGTGTGTGTGAGTGTGTGTGTGTGTGTGTGTGTGTGTGTGTGTGTGTGTGGTACTGGGGATCAAACTTGGGACCTTGTGCTTGCGAAGCAGGTGGCGGCACCACTGAGCTACATCCCCGCTCCTCCACCTTGTTCTTTACAGGACCAGAGCAGGTTGCCTGGCAGACCCCCGGGCAATTCAGGTCCCCGCAGGGCAATGCAGGGCGGCTGCTGCAGTGTCAGCCGTGTCCCGAGGGCTGCACCAGCTGCAGGGATGCTACGCCGTGCCTGGTGCAGGAGGCCCTGGTGCTGCGGGCCGTGGTGCTGGCCTGCCAGGCCTGCTGCATGTTGGCCGTCTTCCTGAGCATGCTGGTCTCCCACCGCTGCCGCCGGAACAAGGCAAGCCCGGCCCCCTCACTCCTTAAATGGCATCAGGCAGGTGTCTGCATCCAAAAACGTCCATTTAGCCACCCTTGGTGCACGCGGACCTCAGACGTGTAGTCCTCCTGCTTCAGCCTCCCAGGGTACTGGGATTACAGAACGTACCACCAAGCCTGGCTAACTGGACGTTTACTGGGCGAGGTCAGGGCGTCCTATTCTGAACAGGGAAGTTGGACTCAGAGCTCAGGTGAATGCAGCAGATGCTGGCAGCCTCTGCTTGCAGCCCAAGGCAGGACTGGGAGGGCATAGGGTGGTGTGGTGCTGTGGGAAAACTTGGCCTTGGGCAGGTTTAGTGCCAGCGCAGCTAGCAGCCGGGGTAGGCAGAAGAGGGGAGCTGGTGTCCCAGCCCAGCGCAGGGCCAGAGCGATGCTCCAGTGGCCCGAGCCCCCCCAGTACCCTGGCCTGGTGCTGTCCCGACCTCTACCCTCCTCCCTGCACCACAGAGGATCCGGGTGTCTGGAGTGGTCCTGCTGGAAGCCATCCTCTTCGGGTCCCTGCTTCTCTACTTCTCTGTGAGTCTGCGGCCAGCGGCTGGGCCCACCTCCCAGAGCCCCCCAGAGCCGCACCCTGGCACCCTGAGGAGCTGAGCCTTCCTCCTCCCTGCCCTGAGCGCAGCCCCTCACACCCAGCAACGGCAGCTTGGTGCACACTGCAGCACGCTCGGGAGAGCTGGACCTGCCCTGTGACGTGGGTCCAGGGCGTCCCCGGCCCCGAGCCCGCTCCTCTGCAGTTGGGGGCTGCTGGGGGTCTCACCACCCGCGCAGGGCCTGGGGCGTCCGGCAGAGCAGCTCTTTCTGTCCCTCCCAGGTCTTCATCCTGTGCTTCAAGCCCAGCGTCTTCCGCTGCATCGCTCTCCGCTGGGTCCGGCTGCTGGGTTTTGCCATGGTCTACGGCACCATAATCCTCAAGCTTTACAGGTAGGTCGGTCACACCTTGCTCTCACACCAAGCCCCTCCGGGAGACGGAATCCCTGGCCCTCACTCTCTGGGCGCGGGGAGCTGGCAGGGCTAGGACGGTGAAGGCGCGGCTCTGACCCCTCCCGGTGCTCCCGGCCACCGCAGAGTGCTCGGGCTGTTCCTGTCCCGCGCGGCCCAGCCATAATCCTCAAGCTTTACAGGTAGGTCGGTCACACCTTGCTCTCACACCAAGCCCCTCCGGGAGACGGAATCCCTGGCCCTCACTCTCTGGGCGCGGGGAGCTGGCAGGGCTAGGACGGTGAAGGCGCGGCTCTGACCCCTCCCGGTGCTCCCGGCCACCGCAGAGTGCTCGGGCTGTTCCTGTCCCGCGCGGCCCAGCGCGTGACCTCTGGGGTCCCCTTGGGCGGGTTGCCCTGCCCTGCACCCAGAGCCCTTGCGGGGCACAGGGCAGCAGGACGCTGAGGTGCCCCGTCCCCCAGTGGAGGTGCTGCTGCTGTGCTGGGGCAACTTCCTGAGCTCCACCACCCGCGTGGTGCCCTCCGCCTTCCACGAGCCACGCTACTTGGGCCTCGCCCTGCGCAACGAGCTGCTGCTGTCCACCGCCTTCCATTTGGCCAGGTGAGCTAAGCCGCCTCCCCAGGCTCCTCCCAGCCCGGCACCTTCTCACCTCCTTTCCCCTGTACACCCCAGGTCCCCAACAGGTGACAGGGCCAGGAGGCAAGCCCCACTCCTGACTCCCCTCCTGTTCCTTTTAACTGTTTTATCTTTAGCTGAGTGTGGAGGTGCACACCTGTAATTCCAGCACTTGGGAGGCTGAGGCAGGAGGGTCAAGGCCAGCTTGGGCTACATAGCAAGACCCTGTCTCGAAAAACTTTTTTTGAAAAACATTTTTATTAATACATGTCTGCAGTACATATATTTACATTCCTTGTAGGGAGTGGGACATATAAATACCACACTTTAATTCTTTTTACTCTCCCTCCTCCTCCCCCTCCTTCCAACTCTTGGTCCCTCTAGCTCCCTATTTCTTTTCTTTTTTCCTGGTACTGAGGATCAAACTCAGGACCTTGTGTTTGCGAGGCAGGTGTGGTCCACTGAGCTAATCCCCAGCTTTAGCTCTCTATTTTTTATTATCCATCTTTTACTTTGCTCTTCATTTACTTTTTGAGTTACTTGTATAATAGAAACCATGTGATACTGAAGCTTGTACATCTGCATCCATTTTCCTACAGATGCCTCAATTTACCCTTCTTCACGGCACAGTAGTACTCCACTGTGTTGTAAACATGTTTTCTTTATCCATTCACCTGTGGATGGGCATACAGGCTGCTTCCAAGATTTAGCTATTACGAATTGTGCTGTCCCCTCCTGTTCCTAAGCCAGGACCCCCAACGTAAGCCTTCCCACACCCTCTCTTCTTGCTGCCTTCTTCCTCACCCCTTAGCTATTTGAGCACCAGGCCTGCTGTGTGCCTGTGGGGACCTGGTCCTGTGGTGTAGACAGACAGGCCCACAGGGAGGGCCTCCCAGAGTCGTAAAGCACAGATCTGTGGTGAGGATGGCAAGGCTTCCTGGAGGCGGGGATTAATGTGAACCTTGGGGTAGCACCTCCATTCCCAGGAGGGCAGGAGAAAGAGCACCTTCCTCGGCAGGGGCCTGGTGCTGGGGAGGGCACCCCTTCTGAGCCAGCGATCACCCCTCCCACCCGTCCCAGGTTCATGCTGGTCCCCTCCCTGCACCCGGACTGGACCCTCCTCCTCTTCTTCTTCCACACCCACAGCACAGTCACCACGACGCTAGCTCTGATCTTTGTCCCTAAGGTGAGGTCTTCCCGGGCCCTTGGTAACAGCGCCCCCTGCGGGTCAGGACAAGGAAGACAGAAGGAGTTGGGGTGAGGCAGCCCGGGTTAAGGACCTGGGGAGCTAGCTGGCATCCATCTAGGCCTGGGGCCAGGGACACAGGTGCTAGGGCTGCACGGGGTCCTTTCAGTACCACTGTAAGGCTGGAGCATTGTGCAGATGTGCTTGGAAGCGGGGATGGTGCCGAAGGACACAGCTGAGGACCGGGGGGCAGGAGGGCGGGGAGGAAGGAGGTGAGTAAAACCCTACAGGCCCCAGCTTTCCAAACCAGAGAAGGGGAGAAGCTTGGCACAGTGAAGGTGGGGCGCACAGGGAAAGGGACGGTAGGCGTGGACAGGGAGCCGTGGTCAACTCTGTCCCCTACACCACCCTGGGAAGCTCCAGAAGCCGGGGTTGCCGCCCCACGAGGAGATCTTGGAGGAGGTGGACGAGGATGAGCTGGACCTGCAGCGCTCGGGCTCCTACCTGGACAGCAGCATCGCCTCGGCCTGGAGCGGGCGCAGCCTGGACCCTGGCGACATTCGGGTAGGGGCCGCCCTCCGCCTCTGTTGCCAGCTTACACCCTGGGCAGAGGAGCACCTTTGCCCTGCCACGAGGCTGAGTGCCACCGTAGGTCCCAAGCTCCCAGTCCTCCCTGGCTCTGAGGTCCCCTCCCCTCCCATCACCACCCTCCAGTGACCCCATCTGATCTGAACAAAGTTACACCCCACCCAAGAGGAAGGGCCCCAAGCCCCAGACCCCAGACCCCAGAGGCAGGTTAGAGGCTCAGCTGGGAGCAAGTCCAGTCCCTGTGTCTTCATCACTGTGGGGGGCAGACTAAGAAACCCCTCAGTCCCCAGCAGGGCAGAGCGGCTGGTGACCTCAGGCAGCTGTGGGTCGGACAGTTCAGGCCTGGGTTTGTTTTAGTCTTTTCTTTTTTTTTTTTTTTTTTTTTTTTTTTGGTTTTTTGAGACAAGGTCTCACTATGTAGTTGAGACTGACCTGGAACTCACTGTGTTGTCCAGGCTGGTCTCAAATTCACAGCGATCCTCCTGCCTCAGCTTCCCGAGTGCTGGGATTACAGGCGTGCACCACCACACCCGGCTTGGATTCTGATTTTTCAGAGCAGAGAAGGGACACGGCTTGATGGGAAAGGTCCCCAGGAGAAACAAGTGTGAGAGCCCATCCTGCCCGCCTTACATGCAGCTCTGCTCTCCTCCCATCCCCACATCCAGGACGAGCTGAAGAAGCTGTATGCCCAGCTAGAGGTCCGCAAGACCAAGGAGATGGCTGCGAACAACCCGCACCTACCCAGGAAGCGGGGCAGCTCCCGCCAGAGGCTGGGCCGCTCCTTCATGAGGTACCTGGTGGAGTTCCCCGAGGCCCTGGCCAGGCAGCACTCCCGGGACCCCGGCTGCCCAGGCCACAGCAACTTGCCTGGCTCCTCCTGCCATAGGCTGCTCAGCTCCAGCCACCAGGACGCCCCCGACGGAGCCCTGCACCAGTCCCGCCGTGCCTACGACCAGCACCACAGGGAGCAGGAGCTGCCCCTCCTGGGCTCCATGCTGCGAAGGACCCTGTCCAGGAAAGCCTCGAGGCCGGAGGGCTGGGAGCCCACCCCAGGGCTGCCCACCCTGGGTTTCCGCTCTGCCAGCGCCCACAACCTGACGGTGGGCGAGCGGCTGCCCCAGGCCTGGCCCGGCTTCCTGCACAAGTCACTGAGTGTCATGGCGAGCAGCAGGGAGAAGGCCCTTCTGGTGGCCAGCCAGGCCTACCTGGAGGAGACTTACTGGCAGGTGAAGGAGAGACAGGAGCGACAGAGGGCGGAGGTGGCCACAGCCAGCCCGCTGCACAGGCCATCGGCCAGGAGGCTGGGGCGGGCCTGGGGTGCCCCCCTGTCCGCTCCACCGTCCCCTGCCAAGGGCAGCAGTGTGGACATCTCTCCGGCCTCTGGGAGGCTCCAGGACGGTGGCAGGAGGCTGCCCCACCCACCAGTCCGTCACCAGGTGTCCTCACCCATCCTGGCCCTGTCTGGGGCCTGCCTGGCAGAGCCACACAGGCTGTCTCCCAGCTCTACCTTGGCCCCAACGCCCACCTATGCCCCGGCACCGGTCCCAGCACCCTCCCAAAGCCCCAGCTTACTCACCTACATTTGCCCCTGGGAGAATGCAGAGCTGCCAGTCAAGAAAGAAACTGTGGCCCAGGAAGGCATCCTGAGCAGACACTCACCTTCCCCGGCTCGAGCCAAGCTCTGGAGGGCCCTCTCCATGGCGGTGGAGAAGAGGGTGGCCGGGGACAGTGAGGTGGACACCAAGGACAGGCGGCCGGAGCGGGGAGCGGATGATGGGGCTGAGGACCAGCCCGAGACATTCTCAAAATCCCACAGCCTCAAGACACCTGCGCAGCAGGGCTCCGTGCGCAGCCTGGGCCTGGCCATCAAAGCGCTGACGCGGTCCCGCAGCACATACAGGGAGACGGAGAAGGGCAGGGCTTCAGGAGCAGCTGTGGCTGGGGGCCCCCGGTCTCCCAGGCTGGGCCGGCCCAAGGCAGTGGTCAAGCAGGTGGCCCTGGAGCTCTGCGAGGATGAGGAATCGCTGCAGAACCAGCAGAACACTCACACTAGCAGGATGCTCCAGGGCTGTCACCAGGAGCAGGGAAGGGAGCAAGAGGCCAGAGGCCTGAGGCTCTCCCAGGGCCCAGGCGAGCGCAGAGTGCAGAGGGCAGGGAAAACAGGGCTTGGGGGCAGAAGCACCGAGCAAGCCAAGGAAGCCCCAGTAAGGCAGCAGGAACCTCCCGAAAGTGGCCTGCTGCTGGGCAGTGCTGACCATGGGGTGGCGTCAGACACGGGTGGGCGGGACAGCAACAAGGCCGAAATCTGCCCCTGGGAGGTGGGCAAAGGGCGCCAGGGGACAAGTGCCCCAGGAGAGAGGGTACTCCCCTGGGAAGGGTGGAGGGCCCCCAAGAAAGCAGCCTCCTGGAGGGAACAGGAGCGGGGCGGAGGCCTGGAGTCTCTGTGTCCCTGGGAGAGCACAGACTTCCGGGGCCCCTCCGAGGCCCCCCTCCAGGCCTCGGGCAGCAGCACTGCCGAGGTGTGTCCGTGGGAGGCAGCAGAGGTCTGTCCCTGGGAGAGTGTGGACCCCGGCAGCTCACCCCCACCACCAGGTCCCCAAGACCCAGCGAGACACCCAGAGAGGCTGGGCACTGCAAGAAGCAGGGCTGCTAAGGTCTGTCCATGGGATGTGGAGGACGCCCTGACAGACGAGAAGGCACGGATCTGTCCCTGGGAGGTGGGCGCCAGAGCAGGGCAGGAAAGGGCTCGGGGAGCTGAGGCCATGAGGTCTTGTGCAGGTTCTGGGCCCGGAGAGACACAGTCGCCAGGGAGGCCGCCTGTGTGGGGGGAGGCGGCCTGTCCCCGGGAGACCTCGGGTCCGAGGGACTCCCGTCAGCGTGAGGACACCGATGGGCCAAGCGTGGGACACCAGGACCAGGGCCTCCTAGGCTGCGGGCCAGCTGATGTGTGTCCCTGGGAAGTGCAGGAGGCACCCGGCAGCGACAAAGCCAAGATCTGTCCCTGGGAGGAGAATGAAGGAGCTACTGGGAAGGGGCTCACGCAAGAGACGGGGAGCCGGGAAACTCCAGAAAAGGGGCGCTTTCACTCGCCAGGAGGTGGCGTGGCAAAACAGGAGGCCAAACTCCACCAAGAGCAGGAAGCTGTTTGTCCTCCAGGTGACCAGGACTCGAGGGCATGGTCTGCTCCAGTCCCCAAGGCCTCAGACTTGGAAGTGAGGGTGGAAGGGACAGAGAAGGCGGAACAAACAAGACCCAAAGGCAGGCTCCTGCCCAAACAAGAGAGCCAGGGAACAGCTCCGGCTTCAAAAGCAGAATCTGTGACTGAGGATGGGGCAAGGACAAGCAAAGCACGACCGTCTATCTGTGCAGGGGCCAGTGTGGCGCCACAGGGCTCTCTGTTCCACCCAGACAGCCGGCGCCCCGACCGACTGGAAGCCAACTCCCAGGCCCTGGGCAGTGGCAGGGGCAGCGTTGGCCCGGATGTGTGTGAAGCTCCCAGCAGTGCCGAGGCTGAGATCTGGCCCAGGGAGGCCATGGAGAAAGTCCTTGAGAAAGGAGCATCGAGTCAGGACAGAAAGGGAGACTCCCAAGATGGAACAGGAAGAGCCCGGGGAAGACCAGCGCCCCAGCGGGTTCAGGAAACACCCGAGATGGCAGACCGCAGGAAGCTGGAGGCCATGCGTTCCGGGGACAGTGGAGACGGTGGCGGTCCTTCTGAAGGACGCAGAGGCAAAGCCGGGGCTGCAGGCCAGGTGGGGCTGGGGGCGGCAGAGGTGTTCTTGGGAGCCGGGGGAGGAGCAGGGGAAGGGACGCCAGCCCAAGGGGTGGCGGGAGGGTCCCAAGGGCATGGAGAGGAGTTTCTCCTGAAGGCAGGATCTGCGGGGGCTGAAGGAGACTTTGCAACAGCAGCGGTGACACAAGGTGGAGAACAGGACGCGGACGGCCTCAGGGACGGCGCAGGCTCAGAGGGCCTGGTCTCCCAGGGAGATGCTCCTGACGCCGATCACAACGCCAGCCCCTGAGGAGCAGGCAGCGGGGGCACCAGAGCAGCAGAGCTCTGTCAGTGGGAAGTCACAGACCCGGAGGGAATAAAGTGAGGGGCACTGTGGTGGACATCCGTCCCTGGGCGGACACGGGAGCCCCACCCCAGGAACCCAGCCTCCAGGCTTTAATAGTGGTTCAGACAGAGAAGGTCCCCAAGGCCCCAAGAAGTCACTATGACTCTCAGCTTCACTCCAGAAGGCAAGAGCTCCCACCCCGAGGGGACCAAGAGGAGCAAGGCTGTTGGTCCTGCCGGTGCCCGGGAAGGAATCAGGCATTGGGAGGACCTTCGGGGCTCCGGCCAAGGACCACTGTCGCCCCGGAGCTCAGTGTCCAGGAAGCAGAGGCTCCGAAGTCTGTCTCCTTTGCTGAGGACCATGGACAAGTGACTCTGGAAGCTCAGGACGAAGATCTCGGCCCCTGACCTGCTTACCCTGGGGACTTCGAGTGACGGCTCCGCCAGGCAAGGCCAGAGCCAGCCTGAAGGGGCGAGGTCCCTCCCAAGCCCTGGTGTTCACTTCTCCTCCCCAGGAAGCCAGGCGTCAACTCGACTGAAAGACGAACTAATAAGTAGGGCGCAGCTCAACCCCCAGGGAAGTTCTACCTTCTCCTTACGAATTCTTAAACTTTTCTTGCTGCTCAGGAAAGCACAGGCCGGACCCTCTGCCTCCAAGGGCGCTGCCTCCCACCCTTCCAGAGTGCGAGGAGCCCCCAGTCTTCTCTGAGGTCTACGAAAGCAGTGCTGCGGAGAAGCAGCTGGACCACACCGGGGCCGTGGGCCACAGCAGGCTTCAGTCTCCACCCCTAGCTCAGCAAGAAGCCACCTACTCCAAGTGGAAAGAAAAACTGAGGAAAACGAAGGACTCAGGGTCAGTGCCTGAGGACACTGTCTCCTGGCTCTGAAGCTCGTTGCCCCTCATGCCTGCCGTTTGACTGCAGCCAACAGGCAGGTTCTCGGAACTCAGGCTTCCAAACACTGGGACGATGGGGGACACAGCAGGGCAGCTTCGCCAGGTCCCCTCCAGGCACCCTCCACCGGCCTCCAGCTGGCTACTTCTGTGACCTCCTTACTTCCTGCTGGCCTCCAGTGCTGTCAGCCGAGGAAGCCGGCCGTTCCCAGCCAGCGTGCCCACCACCTCTGCTCTCAAACAGCAGGTGAGGAGGCACGGGGCAGAGGCTGGACAGGGACAGGGCGGTATAGACACTGGGCACTCTTTCTTAGCATGGACAGTTAGGCAACCGGATTAGATGATACACCCAGAGAGGCAGGGAGGAGGAAAGCATCAGAGAGGCGGGGTTGAGGACAAGAGGCGGGTAATGTGGCAGACATGGCCGGGCACTGGCCACCTGCAGCAGCCAGAGAGCGATGTCCAGAGACCAAACATCCAGGGGAGCCCATGAGTCCACCTGAGAAGTGAGTCCTCTGCCGGTGACAAGGTCTCCGTTTCCACAGGGCCAGAGGCAGGAGGTAGTGCCTCTTCCTCCTCAGGGACAACTGCCCTGCCACCGGCTTCACAGCAGGGGCTTGAGCAGGTTGTCTCAGCCCTCTGTCCACGTGACCCCACCACTGCTGAGCCAGTGCGGGCCTGGCCGGCTCTGCAGCCCCAACAATCCCACTGAATCTGGTCTACCCAGGGAGAGCAAAGTCGCCCCCACATTTATTCTTGTGAAATAAACTATAGGGAGACAGAATAAAGAATGCTTTTTCTGGACTGTGGCAGTTGGCTCTGGTTTATTCATAGTGGTGATTTTTTTTTTTTTTTTTTTTTTTTTTTTTTTTTTTTTTTATTTTTTTTTTTTTTTTTTTTTGGTACCAGGGATCGAACTCAGGTCCTTGCGCTTACAAGGCAGGTGCCAGAACCACTGAGCTAAATCCCCAGCAGATTTTCTTTTTTTTGGGGGGCGGGAGGTACCAGGGATTGAACTCTGGTCCTTGCACTTGCAAGGCAGGTTGTAGAACCACTGAGGTAAATCCCAGGCCCAATAGTGGTGATTTTTTCTTCTGGATTTTTTTAGGTGGGATGTAGTCCAGGCTGACCTTGAACTTCTTATACAGCCTAGACTGGCCTCAAACTCTCCACAATTCTCTTGCCTCAGCCTCCCGAGTGCTGGGATTATGGGCGTGCAGCACCAGGCCTGGTCTTTTGAACAGTTTCTGTTCTTACACACAGGGTAAGGACGCTGTGGCCAGCAGGACTTTGGGGCTGGCTGTCTCTGCCAGCGCCCAGGACGGCAGCTGACGGCACAGATGGGCTCTGCTGGCCTCCCCGCCAGCTCTTCACATCTGGGGCCATTTGCTCAGCTGGATTTGACCCCAAGGCGAGATGAAAAATGCACTTAATCCTCTGGCTCTCACTCAGCTGTTTACGGTTATCCTGAGACCCCCCCCATCACAGCCTGCAGGGAGGGACAAGGCAGCCCACCGGAAGTTTTACGTATTTGCTAGAAGTCAAGAGTGACATCTGCCTGCTGAGTGCACCTTTTGGTCTCTCTGCTTCCCTCCCCTTCCTCCGCCCTCCAGCTGCGGTTCCCGCGGAGAGCACTTCTCCTTTGCTGTAACCCAGGGCTCAGGCAGACAGGATGTGCCCACAGCCCTGAGCTCACGCTGCACGCGGATGAACATTTTCAGCCCAAAGGCCTGAGGCTAAGTAGCATCAGAGTGGCTGCCCCAGCTTAGCCCATCAGCGCTCCCGTCCCTAAGCACACAGCTCCGTCCCCATCACCGACCCATGACAGCTGCTGGGAAAACACGTTTTTTTCTTGTCCGCTGCTTCGGTGAAATGGAAGCATCACAGAGATTACGCTATTTTTTACCTGATTCTGGTCTCTTGGGACCCTACTCCTGATACAAGGTCAGAAGAGTGCCCCTCACATGAAGTGAGACTCGGCTGGGGATGTAGTTCAAGGTTCTTGCCTAGCTCGCTACATGAAAGGCGCTGGGTTCCCAGCATGCCCCTCCCCAGAGCCCCCAAAACAAGATGGCAGGTTCCTTAGAAGGAAATGCTAGGCTGGAAAAAAAGTAAATATGAAAATCAAAACCCTAGGTTGTTTTTCTTTTGGCCATTTTTGGGGTGCTGGGGATAGAACTCAGGGCCTCTAGGCAAGTGCTCTTCCAGGAACAACCCCCAGTCATTTCCTCTGAGACAGGGTATCCCTAAGCATTCCAGGGTATTCCCAGGCTGGCCTCGAACTTGGGACGCTCTTGCCTCAGCTCAGGAAAGGCCATGTTTTTAAAGAAGGGCCTGCACTACACTAACAAAAGGACAGTAGCAGGAGCCAAGCGTGTTGGTAGCACAGTGACCCCCCGTCATTCCCCAGATGACACGGGGACACGGTACGTCAGGCCCCACACCCTTGTGACAGCCCCCCCAGACCCAAGGGTCCACCACTCTCCCCAGACCCGCACTCTGGGGCTCACCTTCCCCACAGGGCCGGGAAGATCAGTACCACCTCCAGGAGGTGCTAGTGACAGGAGCTGCTGATGAATTTCCCGGATGCAGCAGTGCTCCTCCTCACTCCTGCCTCCTCCCAAACTTCCGAGGCCACACAGGCAGGAGCTAAACTCAGGACCCAAAGGCCGAGATAAATCTTTCTTTGTATTTATTCTTCTAGGAAACGTAAATGCCGACTCAGTAGGTCAGTGCTTGCGAAAGCACTCTTGTGCGCGGCCCTATTTTACACACAGATCGCTCTCCAGGGCCCTGATTTCCTGGAAGTCACACCAATCATGAGGCCGGTCTTCCACTCTGCCTTTGAAAGCTGGTCTCCTCCCAGCCTGCACCGGCAGCATGCGCGGAAGCTGCCACTCAGACAGTGTTTTATTTCAGTTCTGATTCCTGCCCCGGGACTAGAGAATGCTGCCAGTGTGCTCCCAGTCTGCTGTGAAAAAGCAATCTGGAGGCCAGGGATTTAGCTCAGTGGTCCTGCCACCTGCCTCGCAAGCGCAAGGACCTGAGTTCAATCCCCGGGACAAAAAAAATCCACAAAAACCTGGTACAGCTGTGCGTTCTCCGAGACACACCGCCCTTCATCTAACTCAGAAGCTGGACACTGGTTTTCAAAGACAGAGAGGGACCGGCCCAAGCCATGGCCGTGAGGACGAGTTCATGGAGGAGACCCATACAGGGCCGGAGATAGCGGGTGACCTCCAGCAGCCTCGCCATCCAGGTTTCATTTTTCCAATCACGCTAGCTGAGGGCTGGGGGCCTCTGCAGGGCCCTCTTTATCGTCCTCCCAGGGCTGCAGCTGGGGACCAGGAATCATCACCGTCTGGAAGAGCAGGAGGCTAAGTTACCCCCCACACGCCCCTGCCGTTGCACCGCCCCCTCTCGCCACCCGGTGGAGCCCAAGTCAGCCGCACCTTAAGGATGGGCTGCTTCGGGGGTGCCCACGGGGGCACGATCTTGGCGTGCATCCTCCAGCTCCCGTAGGGGTTCGTCAGGTGTCTTTCAAACACCACGTACTCCAGGACGTCCTTGGGCACGTCCTCATGCCCATACATCAGGCGGCCAAACCGATCGTAGATGGCCAGAGTCTGCGGGGATGGAAGCCAATCGGCCTGTCAGCATTTGTTTTTTTGCCACACCACCGTTTTTTTTAATATATTATGCTGTAATAATTCTGAATCTAGGGCTAACTGATCCACTGCCAGGGCAGGAGAACAGCCTCACACCGCGTCATTGGATAGGGCCAGGAAGGCCATAGCAAGCCTTTCCTTAGACGCTACAGCCCTGGAACAGCAGCTGCCTCACACGCACAGGCCCTGGTTTGACCCAGGACTGCAGAAACAAAACAAAACAGCCAAACCCACAACTAACCCCGAGCGGAGCTGAGAGGAGGCGGGAGAGTGCCATGACCCTACCTGCCGTGTGTGCAGGCGCACAGTGACCTGGCCGTACATGTTGCTCTGGTTCACCAGGCTGGAGCAGCGCACCTGAGTCACCTGGGCTGGCTCCAAAGACTCCACAAAGCTCCAGCGGACCGTCTTGTATCTGAGATCCCAGACCATGTCCTGAGGGCAGAGAACACGGTCAGCGGGGGCCATAGTGCCACCACCCGTTCCTCCTCTGTGCAGGTCTCTGGCTGAGGCCGCGCTTCCCACCAGATGCTCTCTTGCACCCCTTCTCTTCCCAAGTCGTGATCAAGCAGCTCCTAATCACCCACCTCACAACTCTTTCCATCTAAATCATAACCTGAGCTGGGCATGGTGGCGCACACCTGTAATCCCAGCACTCGGGAGGCTGAGGCAGGAGGATCGCTGTGAGTTCGAGACCAGCCTGGGCTACACAGTGAGTTCCAGGTCAGTCTCAACTCAAAAAAGAAAAAAAAAATCGTAACTTGAGACCTGCCCAGCTGCAATCGCTGTGATCGAGACCAGCCTGCGCTACACAGTGAGTTCCAGGTCAGTCTCAACTCAAAAAAGAAAAAAAAAATCGTAACTTGAGACCTGCCCAGCTGCTGCCCTACAGCATTCTACAACGAGAAGCAGGGATTTTACAGGGACACAGGGCTACACTGCTAAGACTAGACTGGTTAGACTTGTCCCTTGAGTCTGGTACGTACACAACTCCTATCAGTAGAAAATGAAGCTGACTTTATAGAAAATCAATTATGCTTCACCCTCTATCTGAACCATCAAGCAAGTCCCCATTTCCGGAGGTCCCCAAAGTCCCCACATTCCCACATCATGTAATATAGGCCTCCCGACCTCTTAGTAAATCCTCCACTGTGCTGCAAACACCAGGGGGCGCTGCGCGCCACCCACTCCCAAGGTCAGCTGCACCCTCAGGGCCAGGACGCAGGGACTCTGTCCTCACTGCCACAGCCCTCACCAGAGTCCGGGCCTAGTCACCACTGTCCAGCTGAGAGTAAGGGGTTTGGCCTGGGCCTTAAACAGATTTCAAGGGGATCCTTTTAAGAAAATCCAGAGATGGTGTGTACCACTGTCCCCTTGAGCATCCCCAAAGGTAGGACCTACCGGGAAGCAGTGCTCAGTGACCAAGGTGTGGAGCCGGTCATGGTCCGAGCTAGGAGAGAAAGAAACAGAGGTCACGGACACCCTGCCCGCCAGCTGGAGAGGCCCTGGAGGTAGAAAACAGCTCACCGCTACAAACGTTTTTCTGTGCAACTCCTGTGAGCCAGACGATATGCTAAATTCTGGGAAAAAAAAGACGACATCAACGTGTTCCCCAGAAATTTCTGAGACCTGACAGAACAGTAAAATTGTTTTCAATCTCTGGAGCCGAGAGAAATTTCTCTGAAGCCCCCGTTACAGCAGGGGTCCTTAGCGGGCCTGGAAACGGACTCTCGCTCTGGTTCTGTTTCAACCCCAGGCCATCTCATCTCCTTTCACCTCTCAGGCATCCATCCTCCGGGCTCATACGCTTCTCCCCGAGCCCCGTCAAAGGTCATTATCGTTTTTTTTGGTACTGGGGATCGAACTCGGGTCCTTGTGCTTGCAAGGCAGGCGGCAGAGCCACTGAGCTAAATCCCCGGCCCATGATCTATCTTTTCTGGCTCATTCCCACCCAAATGACTTACATCGTTAGTGGAAAATGGTCTTTCTCCTGGACTCTGGTCACAGTGAGGACAAGGAGCAGGCCCAGCTTCTGCAGACGGGGGCCTAGCGGGGCTTCCTAACCAAGACCTCTCAAGTAAACCGAAGACCACAGCAGATTCTCTCAGATATTTATGACTTTCCCCCACAGTTTGATACATAGGCCGCCCTGTACCAAGCATCGGACTCAGGGCCTACACTTCCCAGGCAGGTGTGGCGTCACTGAGCTACATCCCGGCCCTACAGGTTGATATTTTAACACTTTGTTCCCTTTGAAAGCTCTTATTCTCTAAGCCCAGAGTGGACAAGGATTAGCTCTAACAGGTCTCTCTGCTTCCCTTCCACCTCTATCCCCAACAGAAAAGTTTAGCTCATTTGTCCCCCACAGGCCCAGACTCAACTGAGCCGTGGTGACAACTGTGATGACCGCCATGGCTGGCGCCGCTGATGGACTCTTCCCTGCACTACCCTGCCCTACAAAGCCTCAGTAAGAACAAATTCCACGACAAGTTCTCTTAATCTTAGAACAGAACCTACAATGTAAAAGGGAGGACATCTGCTCCTGCAGCACAATGGACTGGGCCACTGTAGAACCACTCCTGTGGCCAAGGCCCAGAAACGGCGGCTGCAGCAGAGCCCGCACCTGGCTGACGGTTCCGGCCAGGTCCATGCGGACGGCCCAGCAGCTGCAAACGCTGAGCCCCGACACATCCGCACACCTAACCTACAGCGTTTCCCTTCACGGTCCTGCGCTGACTGAGCCACCAGTGTCTCAGGACAACTTCACACTGCAGGCTGGCAGCCCAGAAAAAGGTCAAAATTAAAAATTCAAACCTAGGGCAGGAGATGTAGCTCAGTGGCGCCATCACCTGCCTCGCAAGTGCAAGGCCCTGAGTTCAATCCCTGGTACCAAAAATAATAATAATCATCATCAAGTATAGTTTGTGCCAAATGCGCATTACTTTCACACCATATAGTAAAATCAAACAACTTTTTTTTTTTTTTTTTGGTACCGGGGATCGAACTCAGGTCCTTGTGTTTGTGAGGCGGCAGGAGAACCACTGACTTAAATCCCCGGCCCTAAGGTCAAAAATCTTAAACTGAGCCATTTTAAGTCAGAGACCAACTAAACACACATTTTAAAACACACAAAGCCAAGCATGGTGGTGCATGCCTATAATCCCAGCAGGCTGAGGCAGGACTTCGGAGTCTGAAATCAGCCTGGGCCACATAGCGAGGCCCTGTCTCAAAAAATAAACAAACGTACTAGCTGTGTGTGGTAGTGCATGCCTGTATCTCAGCACTCCAGAGGCTGAGGCAGGAGGATCCCTGAGAATCTGAGGTCAGCCTGAACTATACAGAGAGACCCTATCTCAAAAAAAGTCAATCAGTGGCATGGTGGTACATGCCTGTAATCCTAGCACTCGGGAGGTTGAGGCAGGAGGATCGCTGTGAGTTTGAGACCACCCTGGGCTACATAGTGAGTTCCAGGTCAGTCTCAACTACACAGTGAGACCCTGTCTTTAAAAAAAAAAAAGTCAATCAAACAAACAAAATTGATACCTGACCAATGACTGCTCTGGAGCATCTGGCAGAAGCAAAAAAAAAAAAAAGGGGACTGGGGATGTGGCTCAGTGGTAGAGCTTGTGCTTAGCACGCATGAGGCTCTGGGTTCAACCCCCAATGGCACAAAATAAATCAAAAGGCCCCAAAAACAAAAGAAACAAAAACACTACCTGGAAACACATTTGTAACCCAGGTTGTGTGAATTCTCTTAGAGGAAATAATCTCTGATCAAGTTGAGTGTGGTGGTGCACGCTTGTAATCCCAGCACTGAGGGAGGCTGAGGCAGGAGGATCACACGTTTAAGGCCAGACTGTCTCAAAATAAAAAGGGCTGGGGATGTAGCTCAGCGTGAAGGCCCTGGATTCCATCATTCAATCAGAGAAGGGGAGGGGTTTATAACTGAACACTACAGAACACACCCGGATTCTAGGTAACAGAAGCCAACCTTCACTTAGCATCCACGAGGCTCTGGGTTAGAAGATCTCCAGCACTGCACAAACCAAACCAAACCAACTCTAACTGGCATGAAAATGAAATTCCCTGTGTGTTAATCCTCCAGTTACAGGAGGCCGAGTTCCACCATGCACCACCAATGCATAAATGAACGGGTGAATGAGTAATGCAGGTCGGGACATCGAGCAAAGGACGGAATAAGGAAGCTCTAAGGTTGGTCCCTCCACCGACAACAACTGGCAAACCGGAAGAATGGCCAGGGCCGACTGCTTCGGGGGTCCGGGTCCTGAGGGACACTTGGCACGGCCGGGGAGCGGCGCCTGATAGAGGGAGAGGCTGAGAGCTGGGTGGAGGAGGACGCGCAAGCCCGCCAGCCATCCTCAGCCCTGCTGCGACTGGGGGCCTGGCGCCAGTGCTCCTGGGGGCCGGTGAGGGCCGTGCTCTCCAGAAATCTGGGGCTGTAACTGATGGGTCTCGCAAGGGGCCGGTGCAGTCACTGGCCTTGGTGTTGGCCCACGGTTTGGCGAGGGCAGCTTCCCCCACTAGCCTCACTGGAAGAACGGCAAAAGTATCCGTTTTGTTTTCTCCATAACTGATGGGTCTCGCAAGGGGCCGGTGCAGTCACTGGCCTTGGTGTTGGCCCGCGGTTTGGCGAGGGCAGCTTCCCCCACTAGCCTCACTGGAAGAACGGCAAAAGTATCCGTTTTGTTTTCCTGCCGTCACACAAGCAAGAAAATCTGTACCAGGTCACTGGCTGACCAAAAAGGTGGTAAAACAAGAACTTCAGTGGCCACACCCAAAAGGGGACAGCCATTGACCTAAATGCTTGGGAAAAGGTTACAAAGGCGGTTGCAGCCCTGATGAGCAAGCAACCCTAGAGGGAGAGGAGCCTCTGAGCTCCAGGTACCGCACTGTAACACCCAGCATGTCCAGTTCTCCCCAAGCACACAAAGACTCGGGAAGTGAGGAGAAGCCGACAGAAACCAGCTGAGGAGGCGCAGGCGTTGGAATGACCATCAAAGACGTTAGATCAGGGCTGGGGATTTAGCTCAGTAGTGCCACTGTCTGCTTCGCAAGCACAAGGTCCTGAGTTCAATCCCAGCACCAAAAGAAGAAAAGATGTAAAATCAGGTTCCCTAAGTACGCTTAATGAATTGAAGGAAACCAAAAATGGATAAAGTAAGGAGAGAGCAATGTATGAATAGCACGAGACTATCACGAAAGGGACAGAAACCAGATACCCTGGAGCTGAAAACTACAATAGGTAATTTAAACACTCACTAGAGCACCAGCAGTGAACCAAGGCACACGTGGCAGAGCCGCTTATTATGGATGAAAGTTCACCATCACCACGCTAGAGGGATTCAGCAGCCAGAAAGGGTTAGAGAACCAGAGAGGAAGACAATTAAAATTATCCATACTGAGAAGCAAAGGAAGAAAAACGAAGTGAGCCCAAGGGGACCTGAGGGACACCAGCAAGTGTCCCACGCAGGGGTCACAGAAGTCCCAGAAGAATGGAGCAAGACTACTGGAAGTATCTGAAGCAATAATGGGGGCCAAAACACCCTGCAACGGACGAATACATACAGCAGTATAGACCTCCAAGATGCGCAACAAAATCCAAGTGGGAAAAATTACAGACACTGACGCCAAGACACATCACAAAGAAAGGCTTGAAGTTTTGAAAGCAACAAGAGAAAACGGACTCATCAAACACACAAGATCCATAATAATATCAAAGTAAATTTCTGATAAAAACCAGAGGCTAGCAGGCAGTGAAATGACGTAAGTCTCCAAAGAAAAGAACTCCAGGGCCGGGGATTTGGCTCAGTGGTTCTGCTACCTGCCTCACAAGGAGAAGGGCTTGAGTTTGATGGGGGCGGGGGGGGGAGGCTAATCCAAGCCGGGCGTGGTGATGCACACCTGTAATCCTAGCATTTGGGAGGCTGAGGCAGGAGGATCGCTCTGAGATCGAGACCAGCCTGGGCTACACAGTGAGTTCCAGGTCAGTCGCAAATACACAGTGAGACCCTGTCTCAAAACGACAAAAACAAAAACAAAAAAACACTAATGCTAAAAGAAATGAATAAAATAAGAAAGTAGGAATTAGATTACAGAATGGAGAATTGTAACAGAACTGCTAAAAAAAAAAATTAAGTGAAAATTCTAAAAACCAAAAAAACAAAATAAGCAGGAAAAACAAAAAAGAACCGAATAGGTAGGTTTAACAGTATATTAGATAGAACTGAAAAGATGACACAAAGATAGACCAAAAACTATGCAGACTAAAGCTGTGGGGATGGGAGGTTTTATGAAAAAGCCTAAGACACAATTAGCACAGTGGAAAGATCTAACATATGTGCTCCCAGAATCAGACAAGACAGTGGAACAGAAGCAACATTTGAAGAGAGATTCTGCTTGAGAATCTTCCAAATGACAAAAAAAGCACTCAGAGATTTATTTAATTTTTTGAGACTGAGTCTTGCTATGTAGCCTCGGCTGGCATTGAACTCATGGCGATCTTCCTGCCTCAGCGTCCTGAGGGCTGGGATGACAGCTGGCTCCAAACATTTAAAAAGCAACAGGAATCTAAAACACATCTGTGTACTCATGCATGTACGCACATGCGCGCGCGCACACACACACACCACCCTGGTAGGTACATCATAGTGAACTGCTGAATACTAAAGGGAAAGGAAATGCCTTAAAATCAACCAGAGCCGGGGATGTAGCTCAGTGGTGCCTCCGCCTGCCTCACACCGCAAATTCCCAAGTTCAATCCCTGGTACCAAAACAAACAAACATAAAAACATAATAGCACTACTGCTGGAGATTTAGCTCAGTGGTGCCACCACCTGCCTTGCAAGCACAAGGTTCCAAGTTTGATACCCCCCACCAGAAGATTTGCAATTAAAATCAGCCAGAGAAAAAAGAAACATTAAATCAGGCAAAATGGTGTTTACTGGTGACCCCAGCACTCTGGCAGGCTGAAGCACAAGGATCTTTGAACCCAGTATAGGCAATTTAGTGACTTAGCAGGACCCTTTTCAACATTAAAACATAAAAAGAGCTGTGGATACAGCTCAGTGTGAAGGCCTTGGGTTTAATTCCCAGAACACCAAAAAAGACATTCTCAAAAAGCTGACAGAAGCCAGGCGTGGTGGCACACTCCTGTAATCCCAGCACTCAGGAGGCTGAGGCAGGAGGATCTCTGTGAGTTTGAGACCAGCCTGGGCTACAAAGTGAGTTCCAGGTCAGGCTCAACTACATAGTGAGACCCTGTCTCAAAAAACCTGAAATAAATAAATAAATAAATAAATAAATATTTTTTGGCTTGGATGTGTTGTTACACACCTGTAATCCCAGCACTTGGGAGGCTCAGGCAAGAAATCACTGTGAGTTTGAGGCCAGCCTAAACTACAGAGTGAGACCCTGTCTCAAAAACAAAGAAAAAACAAAATTTTTTTTGTGGTGCTAGGGATCAAACTCCTGAGCCTTGTACATGCTAAGCAAGTGCTACCGCTTAGGGGCACACCCAGATCTAAAAATAATTTAAGAAATAGCCAGGCGTGGGGCCTCATGTCTGTGATCCAGCACTCAGGAGGCTGAGGCAGGGGGACTGCTTTGAGTTCAAGGCCAACCTGGGCTACAAAGTGACTCGTCTCAAAAAAAAAAGAGAAAGAAACAAAGAAAAGTAACAAAGGAAGAATTCAAGGATTTCTAGAGTATAGGTTTTAAGCCCAAACAGCTAGTCATAGTAGCCTTTAAAAAAAAAATGTCAGCACCAGTCCAAGGACTAGAACTGAAGATTGTTCCAGCTGCAGGTGGAGCTCTCAGTGGCAGAGTGCTTGCCTAGCACGCGTGAGGCCCTCTGTTTGATACCTCCCATGATAAACACAGACAGAAACAAAAATTATTCTAGGTTCTTAATCTTGACCTTTCATCTCCCTAGAAGCCCTGACTTGATTGAATCAAGAAAAAGTTGGAGCCAGGCTTGGTAGCACTCTGGGAGGCTGAGGCAGGAGAGTTCACCAGCTGGAACCCAGCCTGAGCAAGACTCAGTCTCAAAATAAAAAATAAAAAAAGGCTAGGGGGTAGCCCAGTGGGAAGGTCCTGCATTCACTCCCCAGTGTCCCTCTCTCTCTCTCTCTCTCTCTCTCTCTCTCTCTCTCTCACACACACACACACACACACACACACACACACACACACGCAGTTTCTACAGAAACCTACTCAAAACAACTAAAGAAAGGAAAATGTACATACACAAGATTAACATAAAAAAAGAATCAGGACGGATTGAGGGATGAGGGGGTAAAAGAGCAGCCACTGTAGCAGAGTCCCATCACCTGCAGGTGGAACTGCCAGGAAAGATGCCAGAGTGGGGAGCGAAGTCAAAGACAGCCACCACTCACCTCCTCCTCCCTCACTCTAGGTCGCGAAATCGAAGGGAAAGGGAAAATCTGTATGCAGGACAAAAACAAACTGGGCCTGGAGCAACAGCTACAGAGTGGAGACATACAACAAAGAGCAGACTTACGTGTTTAGACAAAGGTGAGCCTCAATGAAGACATCCTTAGCTTTTTCGGGGAAGTCCTTTATCTTAAAATTAGCATCATATTCTCTTATCTTCCGGGTTCTGTGGAATGAAGCACAATTACCCTTTGAAAAGCCCTCCTACAACTCTGGAAACTCAGCATACACCAACCTCCATTAATATTTACTTAGTCAATAATTATCTTCTGAATGTATCAAGTCCCCTAAATTCAACTCTTTAACTTTCAAATCAATCATTCTAAAGAAAGACCGAGGCTGCTCAAAGGGGAATTTCAGGATTCTGGTATCAAAGAAAATATCCTTTAATGGGCCAGGGATTTAGCTCAGTGGTTCGGTGGCCTGCCCGAGTTCAATCCCTGGTACCAAAAAAAAAAAAAAAAAAAAAAAAAAAAAAAAAAAAAAAATCCCTTAAGCATTAAAAAAGAAAAAAGTAGGGACTGGAGGTGTAGCTCAACAGAAGAATGTATATTTAGTATGCACAAGGCCAATTTTAATCCCAAGCACCAAAAAAAAGAAAGGAAAAATAAATTTCATACAAAAAAGCACAAGAACAGGCGGGGGATTGAGTTTGGTAGTTCTGCCGCCTGCCTTGCACTTGCAAGGTCCCAAGTTCGATCCCCAGTACCAAAAAAGAAAAAGAGCCGGGCTTGGTGGCACACACCTGTGATCCCAGCCCTCTGTAATCCCAGCACTCGGGAGGCTGAGGCAGGAGGATCACTGTGAGTTCGAGACCAGCCTGGGCTACATAGTGAGTTCCAGGTCAGTCTCAACTACACAGTGAGACCCTGTCTCAAAAAAAAATAAATAAAAGAAAAGACAATAAAAGGCCCAAGAGTCTAACATTGAGCTTTTATTTTTTTATTTTTTTTAATTGAGCTTTTAAATGATAACATTAAAAGTTTAAAAAAAAAAAAAAGAAGAGCAGTAGTTTTTTTCTTTTTTTCTTTTCCAATACTGGGGATTGAACCCAGGGCATCACACATGCTAGGTAAGTGTACTACTGCTGAGCTACATTACCTCCTCAGCTCTTCATAAATTTTTAAATTGCATAGGCTGATACTGAACTCAAGATCCTTCTGCTTCAGCCTCCCAAACAGCTGGAATTACAGACATGCACTACCTCACCCAGCCTGAAGCAGTACTTTTAATATTTTTTGACCTTTGGAGACAGGGACTCACTATGCAGTCCAGGCTGGCCTCAACTTCACAGTGATTCTCCTGCCTCAGCCTCGTGAGTGCTGATATTAGAGGTTGGAGCAGTACTTTTAAATAAGGATAAATTATCTGTATCCCAGAACTCTATACCTGGGCAAATCACAAGTGAAGTAGGAGAGTAAAAGATTTCTTTTTGGATTTGAATCTTTAGGGCTGGGGATTTAGCTCAGTGGTTCTGCTGCCTGACTTGCAAATGCAAGGTCCCGAGTTCGATCCCCAGTACCAAAAAACAACAACAATGGTGACTCTATACTTGTGTTGTAAACCTACACATAATCCAAAGACACTCTAAAAGCTGGGCATGGTGGCACATGCCTGTAATCCCAGCACTCGGGAGGCTGAGGCAGGAGGATTGCTGTGAGTTCAAGACCAGCCTGGGCTGCATAGTGAATCCCAGGTCAGTCTCAACTACATAGTGAGACCCTGTCTCAAAAAAACCCTAAATAAATAAATAACAAAGAAGCCCTGATTTAGGTGCAGGCCGAGTGAGAGTGACAAACATGGAATGATTCTGTCCTATCAACCAAGGAAAAGCTTCAGGATCCATTCCTTAATTAAGGTCCAAATTAGCTCCCTAGACTGGATCTGTCTTCCTGACCCTTTTTGGTTTTTCTTACTTTTTCAAGTTTTTTTTTCAGTTTTGTTTCAGCAGTACCGCACAATGAACCCAGTACCTGTGCAATGAACTAGGTACCCAGCTCACCCACTCACTCACTCTCCCTCCCTTCGCCTCTCTTTCTTTTGGAGATAATGTCTTGCTGAGTTGCCTAGGCATGGCTCAAACTTGTAACCCCTCTGCCTCAGCCTTACAAGTGCTAGGATGACAGAAGTGTACAGGTCCAAGGATTTAGCTCAGTGGTGCTGCCGCCTGCCTCACAAATGCAAGGTCCTGAGTTTCAAAGTATGCAAATGCCCAGTTTTTTTTTTTTTTTTTGGCAGTACCAAAAAAGGCTCTCCGTAGTCCAAATTGCCCCTAATTGTTGTGACAAAATTACCAAAAAAGGTTGAGATGCTAAGAATTAGGATGCCCACCTTAATCTCCATTAAATACAGACTATGCTTAGGGAAAGAAAATACTGTCAAGTCATTAAAGTTCTACCAAACCCAAGAAGGCCTCTCTGGCATGAAGTAGCAACAAGAAATTTCTTTTTTTTTTTTTTTTTTTTTTTTTTTTTTTTTTTTT